AGAATTGGGCTGAAAGATCTATCACTTTATCACCTATTCAGGTTGTAAATCGTGTTTTTAAAAAGTAACTAAGTAATTAATTACTTTTAAAAATAAGTCATCAGTAAAGTAACTGGATTACTTTTTTGGGGAAGTAATCAGTAATTAGTTACTGATTACTTTTTTCAAGTAACTTGACCAACACTGCTGAGTACACTCTGGTAATGAAAGGTGGTCACATTTTCATTCAGTTTTTACTCTTCTGGTTTTCATTTTCATGAAAACTTTTTCTTAATAACCTAAATAAACATGTAGTATGATAAACAGTGATCTACAGCATGTTCTTTTGTAATAACCTAAATATTGCTTCACAAAAACTACATTCGAAACCCAGCAACGGTGACAAAAACTGCTCTCTATTAAAGTTGAAACTGCAGCAAAATATGAAAAGACGACACTTTTTTTCTCTTAATCTCACGATTCTTTGTTTTCAGCTCAGACCGTAGAAAGATCGAATGTTCTGCGTGATCTGAGGCTGATCTGAGGCTCGCTGAGGATCAACAGCTCAGAGAGATGTGGAGACGGAGCTCCAGGCACTTTACAACGAGTTAGGAGCCAGAATCTCAAAACAAGCGAAAAATAACAGCTCGTTTGTTTTCAGCTTGTGACAGCAAAATGTAGCGTGCAGCCTTTAGTGCGCAGTGATGCCAGAGGAAAACAAATACAAAGCTTTAGATTCTCTAACACCCACAAATAAACAAACACAAGCTCACGACTCGGTGCGTATTTTGGTAGAAATAATCATCATCTTTTTAAAGTTTAGAGGCACACTTACGATAGAAACAACACAAAGATTGGAAAACTTCGAGCACTTTGAAGTAAATCAACTCACGCCCACGACACACAGCCGGCATGTCAGGGAGATGAAAAAGCAGGCAAGCTAAGGGAGTCGGGCCAGGATGGGATTCTGTAAATAAGCAGGCTTTTTACAAGAAAGAGGCTCATTTAAACTAATTCTTTATATATGTCAAAGTGTTCGCATTTTTGATCTATTTATAAAATTAAAGATTTAAAACTGAAAATGATGATGATTAACCCTTTAAGACCTACCATAGAACCAAGTCCGCCAGAGCTTATATTATATGTTTACATGCTGTGGAGCCATTTTTGGGAG